ACATTCCGTTACAATCGGAAGTGTGGGAGCTGGTGCGAACTGAATTTTGTAAGCACGTTTCCGTACTTGATAAGCAGCTTATGCGTTGATGCAAAGTCTAGATGGTGCTTTTTCAAAGAATAACAATTAAAACAAAAGTATGATGATATATACGGCGTTATAAGGCGTTAAATGTTATTCACCCATATAGCGACGAACGTGTGCGTGTGGCTGCTTCAACTAGAGAGTGAGTCTTGTTTTACGCCGCTTTTAGCAATATTCCAGCAATATCACGAAGGGGCACAACAGATTGGGCTTCACACATTGTACCCATGTGTGCTTCAACTAGACTCATGCCGGTTTCATAGTGCTAGCGCACTGAGATACAGTGCCGCAGTTTTACAAGGAACCCAACTCAGACACATTACACACACTTTTTTACGCCCTAAATGTCGAGCGCAAGGCAGAGTAACAACAAGTATCTTTCAACGTGTTTAGGGTATAACGTGGCGAGGGGATCGAACCACAGATTCTCCTGGCTGGCAGACGCTCTGTCCATAACCCCCCAGAGCCGGTTCTGGTGATGGCGCCAGTGATGGTGGTGGTTGTAGTAACCGAAGATATACACAGCGTTAGTGTCCTCACGATAGATAAAATCAATTAAAGTGTTACCTCGTAGTGTCATATCTGCAAGCGGCGGAGAAAAATATTGTCCCTATCACAATTCTTGCAACTAAACAGTCTTGTGTCTATGAGCACCAGGGCCTCAAAAGAAATTTCAAATTATCTCCATTTTGTAAATGAGAGGTGTTTCTACACTGCATCGCACCACTATACTTCTCTGTGTGTGGTACAACTATTTGTCTGTCAGTTACCGTTTACTGCCGCTGATGACAGTTTGATGGTATGACGCCATCAGCGGATAGACTGGGGTTTACCCTCGCATTAACCCGTCAAAGCAATGGCGACGGAGAAGCGGCCACCGCTGAAACTACAGAATGAAAACTTGTTTTTTGACTCTATGATGAGAGGCTGATTCAACAAATAGCCATATATACATAGCCGGGGTTGTTTCGGTTGTCTTAAATGTGGTTACACTGTCGTATATTGTCTGCCTCGTCTGGGATATGAGTTCGAAACATGCGCCAGCGTTATCATGACGCCCGCAAGGTGGCAGTATGACTGCTCGCGCGGTGCGCGTTGTCTGGTGGGATATATTCCACGCAGGCCGTTATTCCCGCTTGATGGAATAATAGCCTACTGACCTTCAGAAGAAAATGTATAACTCCATAGTTGCGCTTGAGAAAATTCATTTGGATAAAACAGGTAATGGAACATGAAGGTCAAACTTAATAATATTACAAGTTCTCAAATATCCATGGAGAGTTGGTAGGCTAGTCGTAAAGGTCGTTGAAGCCCACGGTGTTGACGTTAATAAGGTCAATGACGTAAACTCCGTTTTTATTGATGCAGTCGAAAGAGCAGCGCATAATCTCGAACGCACACTGCATCATAAAATGTGAGTCGTCTTAATAGATACTCCAATATTTTATGTGTCAGTGTTTCTATTAGTTTTAACGTCGCTCGCAGCAATGTCGAAACTCGACGGGAGAGCACAAGAACGTGCGACACACATTGCACACATAGAGGGCACAGAACCCAAATCCCCTACCACCGTGTTCATTCCCAGACTATACTTCGTCCCAGTAGGAGTTGGTATATGTCAAAAGCACCCATAGGTCGCCAAGACTAACTAGCCTTGCTTAAATGCTGTACTGATAGATGGATGTAAAGTCCATGGACGTGTAATAATTTTATCCTTATAATAAACAAGTTAAGCGGAATCAAAGGCTAGTCATTTATAGGGATAACTTATTATATTTTTATTGATAAAATCTAGAAATTACGATTTAAATTAACAATTATTGCCTCAGAGACTTGCGCACGTCTAAGTCCATGACGTGACAAACACCACGCTAGTTTCATAAATTAAGTAAGTCTTCGGGTACAAGATACAGTGATGTATCCTGTCAGCACACCAGGGCTCCTCAAGTCCCTGGTAGTACTTGCTTGAACGGATCGAGATCGGGATTGGCTGGTTATAGTGGGGAACCCGCCTGACTGTGATTGTGCGTATCTCATGTTATCAATGACTGGTTTGTCCGACTCAATTATACACAGACAGGCTAAATAGGACTGTTAATGTTAACTCAATGGCACCACAAATTGAATAACCACCTGTAACTTGATTATTCCACACTGGATGTTTGAGTGGGTGGTCGGGTGAGTGAGTGAGTGAGTGAGTGAGTGGGTGGGCGGGTGGTCGAGTGAGTGAGTGAGTGAGTGGTCGAGTGAGTGTGTGTGGGGGTGGGTGGGTGAGTGAGTGAGTGAGTGGGTGGGTGAGTGAATGAGTGTGTGTGGGTGGGTGGTTGAGTGAGTGGGTGGGTGGGTGAGTGAGTGAGTGAGTGAGTGAGTGGTTGAATGGGTTGGTGGTCGAGTGAGTGAGTGAGTGTGTGTGTGGGCGGTTGAGTGAGTGAGTTAGCGAGCGAGCATTTGAACTGAACCCACAAGATATAGAAACAAAATAATGCAGACCGATTATACACTCATAAAGCCTAAATGTGTGACAAGAAAGGATGTATGCATAAATAGACTAGTTCCTGCATCTTACTGAGGTTCACTGTGTGGGTGCTCTAAGTATTTCATATAATGAACAGATAGGTTCACTTGTGCGTCATGAACGGCGGTGCCACATTGAGGACGAGGCAACACAAATTACGTAATCAGGAAATACTGTCCAACGGGAATGGCAATGTGTACAAAATGCACTTGTTGTATCTAAAATAATCGAAACAAATCCCAAGATGGCATTAAATATCACTTCAAATCATCTTGAAAGCAGTTCGAGGAAGAAAAACCTTGTAACGTGATTATTATTAAAGTCTCGCCATGTATACCCTATAGACGAACATTGGCAACAGAGAACTTTCAAACATACTATTGAGACTGAATATTTTCCAAACATTAGAGAAAGCCAAATTTCATTTTCCGTTCCATTTTGAAAATGACTCAGTTTATTCTGATTTATTTTCCACACACTCGTGTTGGCAATGGCGCTTTCTTTAATAATATTTTCCTAAGAAATATTTCAAATGTATTTGATACCAAGGAGCCATGCAGCAGATTGTCGATGTGTGTGATAATCATTATATCTCACTGTGTAAACAATTTAACAGCACTTTAAACAATACCACGCTTGTTATCCAATTCCATCACGTCAAAGCGCCCTCTGGGATCTAGTGTTTCACGTTTATCTCCCTTGAATGACACGTGACATTTACAAGGGAGGAGTCAATTCACGTGGTATCTGTTTCATTATTGTTCCGATAGGATGCGTAATTTGCTCTGATACAGAGTGTTTGGAAACTAGGTTCCGTGTGTACATTGATCATTTACGTTTAGTTTTATTTATTTGGTTAACTTCTCACAGGAGTCGTTTTCCAGTCGGCTATCTCTGCTGTTAGCATCGTGTGTCATATTCAGACTGGTCCCACTCTTCCAATGCGCAATTTAAACAGAGTGTTTAGTCATTAGCAACGGTGCGATGTTAACAGGAACTATTTAGTCATACTCTCAGAGCGCCACAACAGGCCCTGACACGGCCATTGTCAGACACGTGAAAGACGAATCACGGATTATCACATTGTAGTAATTGGCCGTTTAACTCACAGGCCATAGAAAGGATAGCAGTGGCATAGTGATGACGTAACAAGTCTATGCTCACATGCCATGGAGAGGATAACAGTGTCACAGTGATTCATAACAAATCTATGCTCACAGGCCATAGAAAGGATAACATTGCATAGTAATGAAATAACGCCACGCCCATCGCTTATAAAAGGTATAACAGTAGCTTACTTATGAAATAAATAGTTCACGCCCATCAGCCATAGCAAGGGTAACAGTAGTTCACGCCCATCAGACATAACAAGGATAACAGTAGTTCACGCCCATCAGCCATAGCAAGGATAACAGTAGTTCACGCCCATCAGCCATAGCAAGGATAACAGTAGTTCACGCCCATCAGCCATAGCAAGGATAACAGTAGTTCACGTCCATCAGACATAGCAAGGATAACAGTAGTTCACGCCCATCAGACATAGCAAGGATAACAGTAGCTCACGCCCATCAGACATATCAAGGATAACAGTAGTTCACGCCCATCAGCCATAGCAAGGATAACAGTAGTTCACGCCCATCAGCCATAGCAAGGATAACAGTAGTTCACGTCCATCAGCCATAGCAAGGATAACAGTAGTTCACGTCCATCAGACATAGCAAGGATAACAGTAGTTCACGTCCATCAGCCATAGCAAGGATAACAGTAGTTCACGTCCATCAGACATAGCAAGGATAACAGTAGTTCACGTCCATCAGACATAGCAAGGATAACAGTAGTTCACGTCCATCAGCCATAGCAAGGATAACAGTAGTTCACGCCCATCAGACATAGCAAGGATAACGGTAGTTCACGTCCATCAGACATAGCAAGGATAACGATAGTTGTGAGATAACCGGCCTGTACTCACCGGCCACATAAAGATACCAACAGCATAATGATAATATAGAGAATCTCGTCCTCGTGTCTTTTGATAGATCAACGAGACACGAGGGGGAGATTTTATTTATCATCCAACATCATTCTTCCAACTTTTTCAGTTTGTAGACAGTTATACGTAGTGTCTTAAGTGTAAAAAATACTGCTAACAGCTTCAGCAGCAGCGCCATTAGTGATGTCATTTGATTGTGACGTCATGGTAGCAATGACGTCACAACGGTCTGCAAAGCATTGTGATGCAATTTCATTTAAGCCATATCTTAAATGTAGATATCGCTTGATCTCACCCAAGCGATATATCCTATGGGAGCCAGTTTTGGATGGTAAATAACAATCCTATACTCACCGGCAATGAAAGGATAACAACCGTAGCATTGTGATGATATAACCAGTCTATACTCACCGGCCATAGAAATGTCAGCGGCACCCTGATGATGTACGGCCCGTCGCCGAGCTCGTTCCCCACCCCGATAGTGTTGCCCCCTATGACCGGGGTAACCTCACTCCCGTACGTGCAGGCGGGGGACGGGGGGATGGGGTTCTGGAAGTGCAACAAGCACACAGACACAAATATCCGACACTCCTCGGAACATGACGATGTTGTCCGAGTACCAGAGCAGCAGTTTCCGTCGGCTGTCTGCCCTCGGTCGTTGTATAGCGCTCTGATCTTCACCTCGAATACACCAGTTGTTGTTGTCTGAAATAAATATATAAAACCTCAATACGAAAACAGTATGAGTGTTCATCTGTCTGAGTGTAATATAGATAAAGTAGACAATATATTGCCGTATGAAAACATAATCATGTTATCTGAATGGTTTCTTCCAGATACAAACATTACGTGTATGAGTTGTGTGATTTATGGCTGTGTATTCTTGGTAAGAAGGATGTCCATTATAGCAACACTTGAAGTCTGTTTCACTTGTCTCATGCAGATGGATTAATGGTCATTTAATAACGTGCGTAAACTAAGGGTTAATTTCGACGGTAGACTGACGTTTAGTCCTAGAAATAAAGTGATCTTATTTAAGATGTATATCTACAATATAAACAAAATAAAATCCAAATGGAGCCCAGATCAATCCTTAATTCCCTAGAGTTGAGGCAATCTAGACTTGAGTTGGACTCCTTTTTTGATTTATTCCCTAGGGTCTATGTTACATATCCTAACAAGACTCACAAATCTGGTCTGACTTGCAATTCTGTCTGAAAGAAATGTTGACATAATTATGAATAAGTCGATGTGTTCTCGAAAATACTTATGAACAAGAACACTCTTTTCGCTTAACATTCACATACAAGACGACATCATTGGAAACGATGGGATTCCGCAATTGGGTCTTTACGTGATTAAATGTTGTAGAGCATGACGCCGTTTCCAACATAACAGCCGTAGTGTTACTATCGTAGTGTTGACGTGTGATGGTGGTGAGGTGAGGTGAAATGGAGTTTAACGTCGCGTCCAAGATTATTGCCCTTACGTTTGTGTGTGTGCTTGTACTAGTCCGGACTAATGCCGATTAAATAGTGCTAGCCTACTGAGATACCATGCGGCGGTTTAACACGAATACCCCACTCAGACACAGTATACTGACTCCGAGCCGACCAGTTTCTGTTTTATCCCCTTAATGCCGAGCGCCAGACAGGGTAACAACAAGTCCCATTCTTTTAACGTCTTTTGGTATGAGGCGGGCGGGGTTAGAACGCCGGACCTTTCGCTCTCCGGGCGGACGCTCTACCACTAGACCACGGAGGCGGTCCGTACGATGGACGCAGAGTTGCTGTCACTTTGTGAAGCGGGACTCTTGTTATTGTGTATGAAGCCGTCTCTACATACGAAGGGCGAAGATAATCGAAGATTTATCAAAACGTCCAAAAGACCGAGCAATCGCGTGCCATTTCGCTTTCAATCGAAGGAAAACGACCCCCCCCCCCATCCTCAACCCTGAGATAGTCTTGTTTCCTCAGAAGGTTTATTCGCTACTTACGACTTGGAGAAAAGAGCTGACAAACAGTGACATCAGTGCCTTCTATTTATTAACAGTGCTGAAGCAAGTATGCGTTTGTTTTCGTAGGTGCAGGTTTACTATTTCTTACACTTCACAAGCTTGGAAACCTTATCAGGCAGCACATACTGTGAAGTCTTATCACAAACCCAGTACACAATATATAGAATTACCTTTGTGTGAGAAGCGAAATGATAATTCTCCTACAGTTATCTTTTTAGCTTCCTTGCAATTTTCCAATATCATTTCAGCAAATTACTTATCTCAAACAATGTGAAGCCATGTTCAGAAAGGACGGTCGGGTAGCCTAGTGGTTTAAGCGTTCGCTCGTCACGCCGAAGACCCGGGTTCGATTCCCGACATGGGTACAATGCGTGAAGCTCATTTCTGGTGTCCCCCGTATCGATATTGCTGGAATATAGCTAAAAGCGGCGTAAAACCATACTCACTCACCATGTTCAGGAGACAGGTGTTTTAGCCGCTTTGCTTCCTGTTCAGCACTTCCGGTGATGCCACACAACGCCATTGTTTAAAGATATGCGCGACATTTTCGGAAATGTTCGAAAGAACAAACAAACCTGACAAAATGCGTATTTCCGATATTTGTGAGTCAATTAAATTGAGATGAAATTTACATTTGACATTTCAACCCGCTACAATTCCGTCATCGTGTGCCGTAAATTCCGCTGTTACATGTGGTTTCTCGTTTCAGAAGAAATATTTTCTCGAAACAGGATTTTCATCTGAGCACGCGACAAACGCGTGTAAACGGTGTAGTTTGGGGAGGGATCAGCGGGTCGACCGGGGGTTACGTCAACAACGCGGGAGTGGAGAGGGAGAAATACAAAGTGCTGGATTTTAGCACATCTTTGATCACTCATGCGTTGCGACCGACAACAAAGTGTCATGTCGTCGGGTTTTGTTTACCTCTGCTACAGGGCGGAAATACATTCAGCGATGGCATTTGAATACAGATTAAACTGATTCAGTTGAAATGTATTGTTTTGGTATTTTTCAGAAATGAGCACCACTCGAAACCTGAAATTACGTAAAACGTAACTGCGGTCCATTTCTACATAAACATTTTCGACATTCTTTAATATTCATAAATATGTTGATTCCGAATTAAAACGGGTCCCTAGCAAACCATGCTTGCTTTACTAGGCGACTTAATTGAACAGGTGGTGAGGCTCGAGGACTATATTGAACACGAGCCATCGTAATTCAACGGCTTTGGACGCTGCTCATAATATCAATCACCCATTTGTCTGGTTCAGGCTCGATAGTTTACAGACCGACGTAAAGTATTTAGAATGATATTATTGCTGAGTGTGGTGTTAAACAAGAAACGTAGGAATCGGTCGTTTTATTGTTTTAAAGGGATGTAATTTTCTTTTGAAACATTTTTTTGTTCGTAAATATGATACCTGTTTAACTGACCAAGATATTCATAATATTTATGTAGTAGCATATAGGTAGCATTAATTGTGTCTGAACAGTTCACACGCGCGCAGCAAGTGTCAAGCTGACATTTCAAGAGGCCTATTAACACCTCTGACAAATCCCGGCAGGTGATGAATTTTCCTCCTTACCATTCTTGCATCATCTTGTGTAGTCGGACTTATCACATTACCTCCCCGCCGAGCGGATATTTATTCCACGTCTCACACAAACACGCTTACATGTAAACGGAACATAATGTGATTAACACACACAACAGGGGCAGTGTGGTTGGGGTGTAGGTTTGGGGGTGGGGTTATCGGTGTGGGAGTGGGGTTATCGGTGTGGGGGTGGATAGAGGGGTGGGGGTGGATATAGGGGTAGGGGTATTGTCTGGAGAATAGTTACCCTCTGTGTGGTCATGACGTCCCCCCCCCCCCCCCCTCGTACAAGCTGAGTGTTACAGCCCCTGCTCGGAGAGGAGGTAGGGTGCGATTTATACAGCCTCTATATACATAACCAAACAACACATTGTATCCACATGAGGATTCGAACCCAGATCCCCAATTTTACATGTCCTGGCTGCCCACTAAGATATAACCGCCGTCGAATATCTTGTGTTATAGCCTTCCTCAGGCCTCCGTTTAGACACACGCAAGCAATGTATGCAATATTATGCAACATGCATAACGCATTATCATCCAGCATCGCATAGAACAGTCTGTGTCTGTATTATTTCCCGTTCCCCAGCCCTAATTGTAATGCTGTAACCCTAAATGAAGCAAGTCTAGATTTTCCTCGGGGCGGTGGGGTGGCCTTATGGTTAAAGCGATCGCTCGTCACGCCGAGGATCCAGGTTCGATTCCGACATGGGTACAATGCGTGAAGCCCATTTCTGGTGTACCCCGCCGTGATATTGCTAGACTATTGCTGAAAGCTGCGTACAACCATACTCACTCACTCACTATATGTTCCTCAGGTTCCATCTCACTTGGGCTCCTTTTCAATTTATATGTTTCTTGTTCTTTCAGAATTATATTTTTTCAGAGGCTAAGGGTTTTAAGATAGTAGTATTTTTTTATTTTACAAAAGAACATTTCCTCTCCTGCTGCTTACATAGTCAAGGACACTGGACTTGGTTTAGTTTGAACTTGTCTTGCCTAGGCTTTTAACATACAAAAGTCCAACGTTGAGCTGTACCATTTAATAAACCGGTCTCACGAATGTGATTTCCTAAAGAAATTCTATGAAATTCTATATTCCACAGTTATGGCGTCCGACAAATGCTTTCCAGACGATTTCTTTTGACATTTCATCTTTTAAACTCATTGGGAAAGAGGGAAAGCTTCAAAGTAAGTTGGAAGCATCTTCCCAAGGCAAGGGAGTTAACTGACCATTAAAGTCTAGTTTTGTCCACGTGGGAACTGGACTTTTAAAGTCAGTTAACGCCATTGCCTCTGGAAGATGGTTGAAAACGGTGTGGAGATTTCAAGCTTTCCATTTTTCAAAAACAGAGTTTGAAAGAGTCAAAAGTTACCGGAACTCTGATAGAACCAGCTATATATATCATAGTGACACGTAATCATGAAACAGTCCTGTGATTTGATAATCAGGAAATGTGTACAGTTCGTCCGGGCTTTTTCTGGCGCTAATATGATTAGGAAATACCACGAAACATATTGATAAAACAACATTTAAAACACGTAAAACGACGTCGGAAATATGCAAAATCATCACATCACGTCAAAACGTCATACACTCATCTTTACAGCTAAAATAAAAATCTGCACTGAGGCAAAACAGGGTAAGAAAAAGGTCCCGTTACGTCAAGCACGTGCAGCACGACCCAGCACGTGCGCAGGCCTACCGTGTTGTGGGTTCATTCATAATGTGCACGTGCAGAATGAGCCTACGGGTAAAATGGGTTGTGCGTGTCAGTTCGTGAGGTGTGCATATGTATACACGTACTTTGACATGTTTATCTCCGGAATGTTTAACCTTGATGATGTTGAGTTGTGCAATAGTGTTGTTTTTACAGGCAAAGTAGCTAACACTACGTGTTGTAGAGGAAGCCTCAAGCAGCATCACGCCTTCGCCGATAACTCGTTTGCGTGTGTTTATGTAAACGAAAAACAAATTCAGCAAAGATTCCATAAAAGTTTCATTACTGTATTAAGAGATAATCTAGTTGATGTTCAGGCAAATGGATATATTTTTTTGGTAAATACTTCGATGTTATTTTTCGACATTTTCATCTTTTGAGCTTTGTCATAAAGTTATAAATTCTATTTTGCAACAGTAATACCAAAAACGAGTACATTTTTAACTGCAATACATTTGTGAATCCCATCCTGGAGTAATATTTTAGCTTAATAAAACAATCAATTATTTGCATACTAGAAAAACGTTTCCCAAAGCGGCGTTGTCACGTCTGTCACAATTGCCGTACTTCTTAACATAGCGAGTGAGTTTGGTTTAACGTCGTCACACTTAAATCACGGCGTTTCAGCTATAACATTGACGTGTGTATGTGTTTGTGGGGCGGTGTGTAGGAGGCTGATAAGCCCGCAGCGACGCAAGTGTTAGATATATACCACACCATGAGCTGGGATTCGACCACATCATGTAAGAGACGCAACTCTGTGTAGTAAATTACGGAGCCTTAACATCGCCGTAATCAGCGCTAAGATCGCATTGAGAACCAGACGTCACGTCTCATCACACATCGGATCTAAATGTCCCAGGGATAACATACGTCTCAATGTGAGGTTCCACAGTTTGTGTTTTAGTCTGATGGAAACATATCATATTTCAAGGGACACAATTGTCAGCTTGGACGCACGTAGAGCAGGTCAGCGTGACCGACAACTCCAAGAACGTATTCGAAAAACGTGATATTGCCAACTCGAATTTACTTCAAATCTCAGAATCTCCAGACGTGTTACACCTTCATTAGTTATGCCAGGAGCCGGTAACCTTGTTACCACGGCCGCGGGCGTGACACGTGAAGGTCAAATGTCGCAATAATTTTAACTATGGTAACAAGCAGCTGCACGTGCTTAAGAAGGCGATTGAGACCAGATGATACGGTGAGGTATATGTCGACCACATGTTAGGGGGTGGTGGTGGTCTAGGTTGGAAAGCGGTGGGGGTTTAAATTTAGGGATTTTAAGGGAAAATATGACAGTTTAGTGGGAGCTGTGGTCGTTGTGCACTGACGTCAGATTCCATGTTATTGCTAGATACGACCTATTTACATGTTTATCTTATATTGCAAAGTGATGCATTGTGGCAGGAGTACACCGTGGTATATATGTCAACTCTATTGAGATGAACAGCTTCGATCACGCTTTTTAAAAAAGAGTAGAAGCACTGCAGTGTTTCACCATGGTAGTTACAACGGGGAATACACCTTTACGGGAATGGAGAGGTTCATTTTGCGATTTGGCAATCGGTAATCGCGTAACATTATGGAAACTAAATCATCAAATTGGTAATAATGTTACTATACGTTTAGTTAGCATACCCGAATGATCATGCATAGAACCGAATGTTTAAATGTTCAGCATGTTTCAAAAACGGGGCGCGCGATGAATGGGGTCCACGCAATTGGAATACGATGACATCAAACAAGTCAGCGAGCCTGACCATCAGATCCCGACCTGTGAAGTTCCGGGGCAGAATAGGTCTTCATCAAACCATGCTTGCCGTAAAAGGTGACTATGCTTGTCGTAAGAGGCGACTAACGGGATCGGGTGGTCAGGCACGGTGACTTGGTTGAATCATGTCATCGATCCCAATTGCGTGGATCGATGCTCATGATATCAATCACTGGATTGTCTGGTCCAGATTCGATTATTTACAGACCGCCGTCATATAGCTGGAATTTTGCTGAGTGCGGCGTTAAACAACAAACAAACCAACCAACCAAAAACGGGGCGCACCCCTGATGATGATGATGATGATGATGATGATGGTGGTGGTGGCAAGAACTGGAATGAGACTGTGTGCAATGGTGACTGTCGTGACAGTCGTACTAGACTTGACTAGTTACAGCAGAGTTAGATGTTAAAGTCGATGTAGTAGGTGTGTGGTGGGGTTGGTCGCCTCTTAATTACTCAAAAGTTTAAAGTGATCAGCGATAACAGCAAAAGCATATATCAATGTAACCTCTCCATAGTTCTCAGTGTGGCAGATCATGGCGAGCGTTCACGTCACCTAGTTGTGAATACAGTACGTTTCCTTCATCGGTGCAATCTTTGTAAGTGCGCTGTCATTACTTTCAGACTTGGTGCCAAATTGTCCCGTTTCCTCCTCGCCCCAAACAGCTTTATTTTAAGCAAATATCAATTCACATTTCTTATAACTGACACGCTTATACGAGGAACAGATACACGACATGCATTTTAGCCTTGGATGTTTGCCCATTTGCCAATAATTATTGTCGGAACTGAGTGAATACGTTTCCAAAACAAATTTGAATTATATTCTTTGAAGAAATTGGTCGTTTATGCCGGTTTTGCTTGTGATAAATTCGATTGATACAACAAGACGGCCGTTAGGACTATTAAAAGTGATGGTACATCAGATACGTGTATTTTTAAAAAGGTAAATGTATTTTAAATTAAATCTTGTATTAGTCTAATTTTGTTAAACAATAAAAAACATATTTTGTGTTTGGTAAACGAAATTGTTAAAGTAGACATAAACTCATTATAATACACTGTATCTCCATCACAAGAAACAACACTCTGTTACCGGAATGAGGACAATCTTTGATAATTTCACATAATGGTTAGACAGATTATTTTTATTGCATTATATTGTTGAAAATAGATCTTCAGAGAAGACAGTTGCGGCTTATGTTTGTGGCTCTCCAAAGTAAAGCCATGTAGGATGTCATTTTCATACAGTGTACAACCAAAATCACATTTACAGCGCATGGGCGCTCAACAATTGGTATAATGCGTCAGTGCTTTCCTAGGGCATGTTCTTTCATCACAATTATGTCTTTGCTAAAGTGGACACCCACAGCAGATGCACCCTACATAATATCACGAGTTAAACTCTTCTGACAGCTAATCAAATTACAGGCGTTATCGGCTGAGTGATGCTCTTCCGTTTCTACTATGGATAAATCGCATCAAAAAACGGAAACCATGTCAGAATATAAATAAACAATTGAATAAATACTTACCTCTTTCACACACAGCACAAAAAGGACCGAGAGAAGAATGAGTATGTCCGGCATCTGGAACGGCAAGATGAAAAACTCATGAGAAACGAGAAATGAAAGAAGTGTCGTCTGCTTCTCATAAGCAGACGATCGTTGCTTCGGTAGACAAGGCCCAGAGTAAGTAAGCCAATTGAAAACCAGGATACGTTTCATGGAAATACAGTGAGCCAATCAAGTCACTGTTTTTCTGAACGGGTAATTGTCGTCTGCAAAGTCGAACAGATTAACAAATTAGTCACGAATTTTGTGCTTGCACCACGTGACCACTATAAGCCAGTCAGAGAAGGTTTTGTTGGGGAGGTCGGTAATTCGATATGCGTGAAGAGAAAATGAATGACTGGACCGGAAAAATATCCGAAAAGGGATAAAAAGTGATTGAATTTGAAGAGGCACTGTTTTTTTTAATTAGTTTTACTAATTTTCAAAGACGAAAGGAATAAGAAATATTACTGTGTGTTTCATAGTGTGCGTGCAAGAGCATAGCATACCCGCAAACACTAATCACATGACTAACTGCGAACTCTTTTCGTCCGAATCTGAATTTTTACAGTGCAATTATTCATCATTAAGCCACTAAACAGTTTATATCATAAAGGTATTGGCATTATGCTTCTGCCTGCGGATAGCACAATTCAGATGTTCCCACTGTTCGGGAAGCTTCAGCGAGTGGAACTACTCCCAAGGTGGCCGCCATGATGTAATTGTCCACCATTGTGTACGTACTTCATAAACATCTGCAACCCATCAGCTTACTTTACCATTGACCACATCAGCGAACATCCAGGAAGTTATACACTTTTGATATCGTTATGGGTTTATTTCAAATGATATCAAGAATTTGAATATTATATTGATGTAATAAGTTGCACAGTCTTCCAATTTGAGGCAGTTTCTATGCAAAGAGCAAGCTGACACAAACGTCCCTGACGTGAAATGCTGCTTTACGTTGCTGAGAGAAATATTACAGCAATATTACAGCAACATCACACTGCCTAGATCTCGAGTCATCAAGAAGCTAAAGCAAAGCCGTATGTATTGTGATTGACGAGTAAAGTGATTTTCAGCAAGACTGACCCCTATCCACAAAACTATCATAACACATCTTTGTTGGTACACGCGCACCCTACACGATATAGCCGTATGTATATCTAAGGCCCATTCTTACTGAAAATCTCTTGATTCGGTCCAAATATAAATTTCAAGGAACCAAGCGTCCTTGACTTAATAGTACCCCTTGCTTGACATCAGGCACTGATATGAATGGTATATGTCAAAGACATAATATACAACCGAGACACATGTTTCAAGATAGCCTCCACTTTAATCCGCCCAGTCCTCTTATTAATGAAACCCGACCCCACGACACTCCGTGAGCAAGCTAGGTGTCAAAACCTCAAGCACCCCCTATCGAGATCTTTGAGAGGTGTGATCACGTGTTGACCGAAAGGTTAAATATTCCTTGTCAATCATACCACATCTGCACTTGTCATCACACGAAGGCGTTCTGTAAGAAAGCATTGATTCAGAAACAGATGGCTCATAACTTTATGACACATATACACCGTCAACTTATTTTTTAACAAACTGTTTAATGCAAAAAAGTCGGCGCTCACGCTCTAAATCTGTACTCCACACTGTCGACCACTGGGCGGCCTGGTTTTGTTTCTCTGTTGCGCTTTCGCCTAATCTTTTTTTTTTTTTTTTGGGGGGGGGGGGGGTCGATATTCGCAACAAAAAAATGGGACCAGAAAATATAGGATGGGTAAGGAGAGAGGGAAAGAGACAAGGGGGAAGAAAAGGAATGAAGGATAGAAAGAACGAAAGAGAGGGGGAGGGGTTAACTCGAGTAAGAAATGTAGACAAACAAAGAGAGACATCTATAGAGTTTTTTTGCATGCACGTGTGTATGCGCCTGTGTGTCGCTGCTTGCACTTGTCCAGACTAATGCGGCTTTATTGTGCTAGCCGACAGATCAGGGGCACCCTGCTCAGACACATTATATGACTACGAGCTGGGCAGTCCTTGTGTTATCCCCTAAATCATGTTAATGTCGAGCACCAGGCAGGGTAAGAACAAGTACCATCGTTTAACGTATTTTGGTATGACACGAACCCCCGACCTTCCACTCTTCGAGCAGAGACCTCAGCCAGTACACTACGGAGGCGGTCATGTGACAAATAATAAGGGATACTGTTTGCTCGAGATAGTGCGCATCAAAACAAATTAAACCTTTTTTATTCATATCCCGTTTATTTACTTAATTGGGCAAGGTCGAGTGGAAGTTAGCCCCAGAGAACGAAAACCTTAAATCGAGAAATCGACACAAAACAAAAACATTTTTTATCGCAATTACTATCCAGCGCTTATTTAAAAAAATCTTATCTTTGATGAAACTACTCAGATCGCATGTACGTTTCCACAAGCCTTACCTCAGCCCCCAGCCTCAAAGTCCGTCGCCAACAAGCGCGTGTAACGGGACCCCGATCAGAAAGAACCCGCCGACAGCGCTGAGCAGTGATATAATTGTGTCACAGATGAAAGCCCGATTATTTCAAAAAAGCTACAGTCATATAGATGTAATTAAGAAACTTACAAGGGCGGGTTGTATGCATAAAAATGAAACGTGATCCTTCATTTCGTTAAATATCATCTCATATCTGAAGAATCAATGAATTCAAAACGAAACGTGTGGGCTTGTGTAGGTTTGCAGTGCAGAAAAAAACTTACAACATTCATCATTTCACATTTATTTTCAAATGTCATTCTAATGGAAGAAAAGAAACTAATTTCACAAGTCGAGATTGAAGCGTATGTTTGGTTTGTAGGGACTTCATGCAAGTGCACCCAGAGATCGGTATTATTGTTGTTTCGTCAACGCCCGTGACAACACAACCAATCTGCTGTTGAGGGATCAGAGAGCGAGAAACACAGGCGACATGGTGTGCTTCCAAACACTGCACGCACACGCCTACACGGAATTCATAAAGAGTACTACCCCCGCATGTATTATCAGTGCATGTGTGACTGCATATTGTTTGACGCCGCACTCCGCAGAATTCCAGATGTATGACAGCGGCGAAAATATCCCAAACGGAATCCCCTTTGAGGGCGGGGTCCATCGTAATAGGTTTGTTTGTTTGTTTGTTTGTTCAAAGACCCACTCATCAATATTCCAGCTATATGATGGCGGTCTGTAAATAATCGAGTCTGGACCAGACAATCCAGTGATTGATATCATGAGCATCGATCCACGCAATTGAAATACGATGACATGCATCAACCAAGTCAGCGAGATTCTGTTGTGCCAAGGACGTTTGTTTTGCGTGTTTAACGCCACAATCAGTAATATTCAGGTGAGTGACGACACCTGTAGATAACCGAGTATGGACCAGACAATCCAGTTATTGGCATCATGAGCATCGATGACATGCATCAACCAAGTCAGCGAGCCTGACCACCCGATCCCGTTAATCGCCTCTTACGACAAGTATAGTCACCTTTAACGGCAAACATGGGTTGCTGAAGATTTATTCTACACCGGATCTTCACACGTAACAACGCGACAGTATTTTGAATTCCGTCGGTGGCGTCTTCCTCAAAGAGAAACCTCATAGCAAGACCTCATAATCATAACACACTCGACAGGGATTAAATATGAATAAGAGACCGATATTAGTTAATGAGACATATTGGTCGAACTCTGTGTCGAACTGTCCTGACATTTTCCAGTTCCAAAGGATTTTGACTTTATGATTTGATAATGGTAAATTAATTTTTTGCCATACATTTGTGAACCGACGCGACAGTTTACGAGATCACTGGGAATATGTTTTCGTTTTATGTGCATTTGTTCAACAAAAAAGTACAGTTTCAAACACTTATCGGATTATTTAATTCTGGTTAATGCCATTTCTTGGCATTATTTGCTCTGGTAGATATATAATAATGTATATACTTTCTCCAGACAAAATACACAATAACAAAAGTTAACCAATTATAAGTCCACACAAAACTGAGTATTCGTTCTCCCAAAAAACATTTAATGGCGAATTAATTATCAGTGCATACCATTAATATGACAAATTAGTGTGTGAGTGAGGATATTTTATGCCGTTTAAGCTATATTCCAGTTCAACAGGCGTGGGAAATTAGAAATGGACTTCCATGACTTGAACCCGGCTCCCGCGTGGAGAGCGAATTATTTAATTACTTGGCACTCATTACTGATGTTCAATAAGATGACGATTAAACATAAATACTACGGTTATAACGAACTCAAATGGACCACAATCTTTTGGTCGTATTAACCGTGCTTTAAGCATATATACAACAAATGACCCCGACTAAAAAAGAAGTTCATTATATCGGTCAGTTCAGTATATGCGTGTTCGTTATAAACGTAGTTTACTGTATAAGGTAAAGAATACCCATAGCTCAATCTTTGAAAACAAGTAAATCTTCAAATATATTTGATCATCGAGGTAGTACTGTATGTTTCTATGCAGTCAGCAATATTCAAGCTAAATGACGGCGGACTGTGAGAAATCGAATCTGGAACAGACCGGAAACATTAGGCCCATACAACGTCGGGGTACAATGTCACGTGATTAAACTGTTTCGAGTCTTTGAACCGGGAGACCCTATATATATACATTAACATGTATAGTGACCAAAGAATGCCCTCCTCAAATTCTCCGTGCAGAGGTGTCTTTCGTAGAAACCACGATTTGAATCCCGGCCCGCCAAGATTATTGGCTTGTTAACACCATACCCGCCCTGATTGTGAAGTGATTAACATCTGAGACCTGCATCACATCGGGCTTTCCTCCCACATTAGGCTGGCACGCCATGATATAACTGAAATACTGTTCAAAACGTCGTTAAACCCAACTCACTCACCCACTCACGACATCACTCGTATTCACATTCTAACTTTGGACACCAAAACGTTAACAAATAAGTAATAACAATGGCGTCAAACAATTCATGTTCTCAAGAACAAACCATGAACGGTC